ATTTACCTAACTTTCAAATCTGAATCAACTGCTTTTGTGAGTGCTGTCATTTCGGCATAACACTGTTCAACTGACCAATTAAGATTACAGCTCCTAATGATGGCACGCGTGGCCAGCCCACTTTTTAAGCTTCCTCTTGTTTTTAATATTCTGTGACATATGATGCAGTTCTTGTTCACTAAAATAAAGGGTTTGTTTGGTCATCGTGCAGCACATTAATCAAATAATTTAGCAACTGCCTTTCCATCTTAATGTGGGTATCTTCAAGGCAAAAACGAATAAAATTTTTCTATATGCTTATTGCTTAGTTCAGCTAAGCAAATGCGTAATTCGTCTATTTTACTTCATCATTTCAGGTGGCATTGCAAAAAAGCATTTTTATGATCAGTAAATAACTGTATCTACCTACCAAACAGTATCGTTTCTATCGAATTAAAAAATAATCATCATCACAATCACAGCCTACCACAATTCATTCCTGTGCACACACTGTGCCTCGCCATGGATTGTCTCATATTTGTTACAGTTGCCATGTTTAGTATGCGGGTAGCCCACCGCAGTTATTTTATTTTGTAGATGCAGGCAAGCTTAACTTGTTACAAGGGATTTTAAAACACTTGTTTACATTCTTTTGCAGTAAGCTGTTATGCATATATTAAGCAAGACTATGTTAGCTTCTGCTATTTGATTATACTACAGTGATTTTTCATGGGACGGATGTAAAACAAAACCTGTTTCACTGTAAACTGTACCACTGCATGGAAAAATCTTTGTTAGACTAGCAGCATAGCACCAAATATTACAATTTTTCTTTTTGTTTCGTAATGATTTATGAAGATTCAATCAAAATACACTTTCGCTTGCTTAAACTTAAAACTAAAATAATATGTTATTTCAAAGAAAGAATATGTGTGTCCCTTTGTTTTCTAATACTGAAAACCATAAAATAGTATCAGTGTACACTAAACTATAATAAAATAAAATTTTAATATTAGTAGTAACATAACTTTTTTGTTGATTTTTACAACAGAAATATGATGTGAGAGACTGATTTATCTCAGTAGCCGAAAGGTGGATTCAAACCCACGACTCTGCATGAGGTTGCAGTCTGTACCTTATTATTAGGCTAGGCGCTTTGAATGGAGCCATGTAAGGCCAAATAGAATACAATTTAAATTATCACTTCACAAACAATATTTAATTTTATGTACTTTATTCATTTAAATCCATATAGATGAATAAGGAATGTTATTGGTAATTTTACATTAAAAATTACAATAAAATAAGATTACAATAAATTTGTTACAATTACAATAAAATAAAATAAAATAAAAACTAAATAGAGTTAAAATATTATATTATTCGTTTAAACTACTGAGAAGAAGAGTCATAAATATTTGCATGGTAGAGGCATGATGAGCACGAATGGATCGGCTCGACCAGGGAAATACCACACTCTGAAACTTCAAAGACTCCAAAGACCCCATTTATTTTAGTTCTCATCGATGACAAGTAGTAAGGCATTTGCATTTATACATGCTACTTGGAAATATTTTTGTCTATGGGCTATGAACAATGGTATGAACAATACATTCCTATCCTATGTCATCCTTGTATAAAAATCAAAGTTATGTAAAAATAATGATTTTAAAGGTTCACAATATAAATGTGTACTATAATATTAAATTGTACTTTGGTGTGTGGTGAGTATAGGGCCATTTTTTCAAATTATGCCAATTTAAAAGGTCCTGTCCAATAATAAATTAAGGGAATCTTAGAAAGTTAGTGGGTAGGTAATAATTTTAAACATTTTTTTAATTAATTTTTAAGTTAAATACAAGTAACAAAGTAAAATACCCAATCGTTGGCTCTCTACAAACTTATTGTCCTACAGGCCTACAGTTTTTAATCAAAATAAGATTCGGTGCAGATATTAAAATATTATAAAGAAAAACAATAAATTAAAAATAATAGCTTCATAGTATACAGCACTGACAACATATTTTACTCTTTTTTTTAAATATAGTGCCTCAACAACACAATATAGTGCCTCAACAACACAATATAGTGCCTCAACAACACAATATAGTGCCTCAACAACACAATATAGTCCCTCAACAACACAATATAGTGCCTCAACAACACAATATAGTGCCTCAACAACACAATATAGTCCCTCAACAACACAATACAGTGCCTCAACAACACAATATAGTGCCTCAACAACACAATATAGTGCCTCAACAACACAATATAGTCCCTAAACAACACAATATATAGACTCAACAACACAATATAGTGCCTCAACAACACAATATAGTCCCTCAACAACACAATATAGTGCCTCAATAACACAATATAGTGTCTCAACAACACAATATAGTGCCTCAACAACACAATATAGTGCCTCAACAACACAATATAGTGCCTAAACAACACAATATAGTGCCTCAACAACACAATATAGTGCCTCAACACCTGATTTGACGAGATGTGACACTGTGTGAGAAAAAAAAAAACCAATTATGCTAAAGTATGAGCTGTAGTTATCAGCATTTATCAAGCAAACATTTTTACTCTTGAGTGCTAGAGAATTATTGTTTAGTATTATTTATGGTTATATTGTTAAATGTATACATAGTATTATATTTTCATTTGCGATTTATTGTTGAAATATATTTTTTTTCTTCTTTTCGGCGTGCGTATATTCTTTTCGTTGCCAAATAAATAATGCTATAAAAAAGTCGCGTAAAAGGACTGAAATATTTACACGTTAGGCCTAAATGGGAAGAGAATATAGAATATACAGAAGGCTCTCAAGGAGGTAACTAAAGGTATGTGCAAAAAACTTTCTGCCATAACCTTCAACACACCAAGGTCTTCTTTACAATTTAGGATCAAACATCTCGAACATAATAGAAAGCCAGACCTTCCTCTGGTTGTACCTCCTGAGGATGAGGAGACTTTTGCCAATTTGAAGAAGCTCAGTAGCAAAAAAGGTTTCCTCAAGAGAAAGGAAAATCTGCTTAGGAATGTTACTGATTAGATCGAAAAAAGCAAAACACCACATTATTTTTAAAATGGTTTAAATAGTTTTAGTGAGACATCCATCTCTTGTTTTTCGGGCATTTGCCAGCTGCTCTGTGTCCGGAGATGACGTGAAGGGGTGGTTCTGGCATATCAAAGATTTCTTACTAGAAAATAATTTCTTAGACACACTGTCGGCATCCTGTAGGTGTTTTATGAGGATGCAACCAATTTTGTCTTGTGCTCCAAAGCTGGTATCGTACTTAGCAGTAAAGGAGAACGAAAAGTCTATAAAGTGGACCACGCTCTGGTTGTGACATCGATGTCACGTTTACTTGACAATGCTGGCGAAGCTCTTGCGCGATCCACTTAATAGACTGTCTTACCTCTTCCCCCATAGTGATTCCTTTATTTTGTAAAACAAAAATAATATTTCCTTATAAACGATTACCAGGAGAAATTAGATCTAAATTTTTCCAAGATTGGTAATAACGGGTGGATGAACTCTGACCTATTAGGTGAGTGCACTAGTGAATACAGGCAGAGTTATCTGTAATACTTTTCGTGGATGGCAACAAATCTCACGTCAACTGTGCTGTGAGCGAACTTTACCAAACTACAAATTATTCTAATAGCGCTGTACCCTAATTGCACTGGGCTTCTTCAGCCGGCTGACGTTGTCGCATTCTAAATTTTAAAAACACATTGGCAAAAAATAACTCTGGAATGACGCAGAACGAACCCATTCTAAGCGTTAACAAAGACCTAGTTTGTGCCTTTAAAAGATACAATAGAAAAAAGTGTAAAACCACATCATCATCAATGGATTCAGAGCAACTGGGCTCTGCCACCAAGTGCCTTAGAAGTAAAAGTAAAAACCAAAGGATCTTACTCCAACACAAGTTCCCGTTAAAATAAATTTTAAAGAGCTCACTAAAGATGACTTCGTAAAGTCGGTTAAAGAACATAATGTAACCAACATTAAAACTGGACGTTGTCGTCAAAAGAATCGAATAAATATTGAAAAAATAAATTAGGATTGCCTCACAAAATTACCAAATATTTCACATGAAAATAACTCAGACATACTCAGAGAATTTTACTGACCTGAAAATTGAAAACACGAACATTATTTTTGACTGTTCGCCAAGTCAAAATATTCAATTTACGGAATCGAAGTTCAAACTAGTACCACAAGAAGTAGTATTGGAAGAAATGATTGTGCCTTCAATGAAGCTAATGCTATACAAGATACATGCCAAGAACCTTCTTTTTAAAACAATAACCGACACGATCTTAATGTTACGATATATAATAATTCCGATGAATAAACTAAAAATATAACGAAAGTTAATGAAAAATTAGTACAAACTGCGCTAGCAGAACAGAATCCATCACTAACGACTTTAACAATGACACATTGTACTTAAGTTAAATTGAACGATCATTTGATTTAGCTCAAATCCCACCAAAGAATAGGGGTAATAAAGATTACTAAACTAAAGCTCAAAATAAGCATAAGATAGAATAAACAAGAATAAGGAATTCAGAATAAATAAGAAAATCCAAGATAAACAGGAAAGAATTATACCCCCGCTAAGATAGAAAAAATGTTGTATATAATCCTTTGGATGGTACCATTTAAATTACATACAAAACTAGGAGGTTTTATCTTATAATACGTAGGTAAATTACTAAGTTATTAGGGGCTATAAAAGGTTTACCCATTAAAAAGATAATAAAAAAGATGTATAGGAAATGATGAAATTCCAAAGAATAAAAATGTTAAGTATTTTGCTATGTTTTTAGACTATTTATGCATAAATTATCGTAAAAGTCATGAGAATTTATTTTGTATAGTTTTATGAAGAGATTGCTAAAAGTGCCAATAGTTGGGCACCTACCCTATCATTGTATTACTTGTGAGATGCTCTCAACTGGAACAGAGTAGAGACGAGGGGGCTGGTGCGACGCTAGAAGTGCATGAGGTCCGAAGGCGCGTAGGTCTCGGCGGGCCGGTGCGGCGACGTGTCGTGCGGGCGCAGGGCGTGCGCGGGGCGCGCGGGGTCGCGGCCGCCGGGCGGCGCGTCCTCCGCGAAGTCGTGCGAGCCGCCCGACTTGCGCACGACGCGCAGCTCGGTGATGGAGATGTGGCGGTCCACGGACTTGCACATGTCGTAGAGCGTGAGTGCGGCCACCGCGGCGCCGGTGAGCGCCTCCATCTCGACGCCGGTGCGAGCGACGGTGCGCACCGAGCAGCGCACGCGCAGCGCGCCGCCGTGCGCGCACTCGCCGCGCGGCAAGCGCACGCGTACGCGCGCCGCGTTCAGCGGCAGCGAGTGGCACAGTGGGATCAGCTCGGCCGTGCGCTTTGCGGCCAGCGTGCCTGCCACCTGCGCCACGGCCAGCGCGTCGCCCTTGGGCAGGCGCGCGTCGCGCAGCAGCCGCAGCAGCCGCGCCGACACCAGCACCGCGCACTCCGCCTCCGCCTCGCGCAGCGTCTCCTGCTTCCCGCTCACGTCCACCATGCGCGCGCGCCCCTCCGCGTCCAGGTGCGTCAGCGCACCGCGAGCCTCCTCCGGCTGCTCCTCCCCCGCCCCGCGCTCACCCGCCCCCGCCCCCGCCGCGGTGCAGTACCAGCGTGCGGCCACACGCCCGACGGCCACTGCGCGCCGCTGCGCCGCCCCCCCTGCGCGCTGTAACGTTCCCACATCTAAGCGGCGCAGCGCCCATCCCCGCCACGCCGCCGACCCACTAGCCTCCTATCAGTATCATTGGACGGTTCTCCATACGGGCGAGATTCTGCATGCCTACGAAATATCATCAAAAGATAGAGGCTTCATTCAGAAGCATCGGATAAAGACACCTTTAACATGAATAAAAACCCATGAAACCCAAGCGTAATAAATTCAACGCGGACGAAATCGAGGTTAAATTTAAATGGAAGAAATGTTATTCTTAATAACGTATTTCATATTACAATAAAATTTAATATGTAAAATCTGTATTGTGATATTAGTGTAATAAAGTTTTCACAACGTTGTCGAGTTTAAGTTTAAAGTTTGTTATAAGAATTGATATTTCTAGTGGATGATTATGTTTCCACCATTATAATATTTAGACATAGTTCTAAAGTGTATTTAAGCATCTTTTACAATTTCAGCCCGTAAAGAGTAATAAGGTCATGGAGATTCCTCTCTTATAACAGAAAGGTTTTGAAATAATCGTCATGTTTCGCAGGCAGTTATTTTTGAATAGAGATATAATAGATACTGTACGGTAGTTCCCGTGTAGGTGATGTGACGTTCTGTGGAAGCGTGGCTTGGGTCGAAGGCGAGTGGGGTGAGATGAGATGTATTTAATGTTTAAAATCAAGAGAAATTTTATCGCGTTTAACGACTCATTTTATATTCCCGACATTTAAAATTTTTACACCACCCGTAGTCACGGAGGTCTGAGGTGTTTGACATCTCAATGTCATAATTAACCACGACAACCTTCAAATTAAAAATATAAATGTTTGATTTCTGCGTAGATCATACCGTTACCGTTCCAGCCTATTAAAGTCAACTGCTGAATAGATTGCTCCATGAGGGGGATACTTGCCACAGTTGCCACGCGTGGCAAGCGGGTTGGTAATCATAGTTTTTTTATTTTAATCGCAATTATATGCCCATCTTTTGTTTTGTTTCCGTTTCACGCCTCTTACGACATCTATGGGTGATAAAGGTTAGTGGATATGTTTACACCACTATTACACGGTTTAGTACTATTATAAAACTATATAGTGTTCGCGTAAACATAAAAAATCATTTAAAGGGAAAAGTGCATTAGAAGTGAGGGCGGATGATATATGATATGATATAATATGATACAATAAGTTATGTACCGGCGTGTTGAGGCTTCTTGTTGGCGAGCGCGGAGCGCACGAGCCGGCGCAGGCGCGCGTCATCCGCGCCGCCACGCAGCGCCGCCGCCAGCGACACCTCGCCCGCACCCAGCAGACATACCTGCACACACATACACACACATCGCGTGACGTCATCGCACACACACACACGTACGCAGCGCCGCCGCCAGCGACACCTCGTCCGCACCCAGCAGGCACACTTGCACACACACACACACACACCGCGTGACGTCACCGTACACACACACATACGCAACGCCCTCGCTAGCGACACCTCGCCCGCGCCCACTAGGCACAATTGCACGCACACAAACCGCGTGACGTCACCACACACATAGACGTACACAGCGCCACCGCCAGCGACACCTCGCCCGCGCCCACCAGGCACAACTGCACGCACACAAACCGCATGACGTCACCGCACACACACACACACACATACGCAGCGCACTCGCTGGCGACACCTTACCCGCGCCCACCAGGCACAACTGCACGCCCACAAACCGCGTGACGTCACCACACACATAGACGCACACAGCGCCGCCGCCTTTATAGAATACAGTTAACAAGCGAGCACACTGTCCTCAAAGTCAGTGTGGCGCCGAAATCAATCGAAACGCTACCACCGGGCATCGGTCACCAATTAACTCACTCTTATTACTAACATTTCGTTTTGTTGACGCTAATTAGGAAGTCAAAGCAGGAGTATTTTGTTGCTTACAAGCCAGTAAGTGACTCTTCGGAAAAAGGACTCACTGGCATCTTTCTTGATGCAATTGTACAAGTGTTTGATTTAGATATGAATTACTGTCGATGTCAAGGGAACAATAATGGTGAGAACATGGCAGGAAAATTAAAGGTGTTCAAACCAAAATTTGACTCAATATTCTCGGGTATTTTTCAATTCATGTGGTTGAAGTTATAAGAACTTAATTTGCTCATATTCGCGCAATAAAAAATAGATGTGTCCTACCCAGTCTGAATAGCACCTACCAATCCCCTCAATTACATGCACTATCCCCGTGATCACCACTCCCAGTACCACCACACCCAACATCATCACACTACGGACGACACACCACTCTCGATAACACGATACGTGTTTCGTCTCTTCGTGTAGAGGTGAAACACGTAACGACTACTTTATCTGAGGATGCCTTGCACAGAAATCTAAATAGAAGTTGTAAAAGCGCGTGACCTTGTCGCCGTACATGTGACTCGTAGGCCCCAAGACCGCGAGGAGCGTTTGTTTCGGTCACCAGTACTGTTTCGGACGGAGACGTAAAAATGGTGTTTTGAAACATATCCAACTGCGGAAATTCCTCCGCAACTTGCAAATTTTCAAATAAAGGGATAACATTTCATAAATAAGTACTTAGTGTTTTAAATAATGGTGTGTTTAATGAAATATACTTAAATAAAATTATCCACCTCCAGTACTACGATTGTCTCCGAAATTTTAATTGTTTTCACACTTCAATATCCATTGATTCCTAAGCTTGTTCATGTCTACGATTACGACAGCTAAAATAAGCGATGGATTTATAGTATGGGCAATAAACAAAATTGTTGCGTACTTAAATTTCCTAGATCATGGCCGCAGGAGTCGAATGCGAGTCAGTTACGTGACACAACTATTTTGTATCGATAATTTATTATGTTTGGCTTACACAGTTTTAACGAAACGGGAATTAAATGTGATTTTTCGTTAAATATTTATTTACACCTTTCTACTTTTTTTTCTTTATAAATATTTTATACCGTTAATCGTTTATCGGTGATTATCTGTTTCTTTGTACTTTTAAATTACTTGATAAATTTTAATAAGTTATATTGTAAGGATAAGTTGGGGAGTGCTTTCAGCCGGGATGGAAGATGTGATTTAGATGTGGACAGGCGTGTCGCTGCCGGGAACAAAGTCAATGGTGCCCTGAATGCGTTAGTCAAAAGGCAAGGCTTAGTGAAGAGTGCACGCCTTGCCATACATAACACAGTGTTGGTACCGACTTTGTTATATGGCAGCGAAACCTGGGTATGCCAGAAGAAGCATAAAAGCAAGTTGAATGCAGTGCAGATGCGATCTCTTCGTAAAATGTGCGGCGTTACCATAGCCGACCGAAAGCGAAACGAAGAGATTCGCAATATGGCAGGATTGAAAGATGACCTTATCACAAAAATTGATAGGGGCTTACTCCGATGGTTTGGGCACGTTGAGCGAATGAGTGAAGACCGAATGATGAAGAAAATATATAGCGCGAAAGTAAATGTTAAAAGGTGTCGAGGTAGACCGAGACTAACTTTCGAAGACCATGTGAGCATATTACTCGAAGAGGGGAAGGTCAAGAGTACTCGGATACCTAGACGTGCATGTATGAAGATAATGAACCTGAAAGAAGCGAAAGAGGTATGTAAGGATCGTGACACTTGGCGATCTGTTCTCTCTGGCTACCCCGTTAGGGATTGTGCGTGAAGATAAGTAAGTAAGCAAGGATAAGTAATTATATTGTAAGGATAGTAGTCTTAACTCGATCTGTAAGAAGCCGGGAAACTGAAAAGTAGCAAACAACAGAAAGTCAGTTACAGATCTTTAAAACTAATAAAAAATGATAAATATGTCACCCATACATATATTTATTCGTTTGCTGTTTGTATAATATTGTATTCATTTTATTTATACATCTGTTTATTTAATACAATGCTTTTATTACAAGTTTCCAAAAGAACCGGATCTTTTGGAAACTTGTAATAAAAGCATTGTATTAAAGATAAATCGATATATTTATTCTTAACGTATTATTATTTCCCCTTTTATTTTCTAATTATAAAACGTCTAAAAGCTAAAGCTAAGACTAAAAGCGTCTATTACTGAGACAATTTCAGTTAATTAGTTACATCTTGGTGTGAGACTCCTGGAAGATCAACGACGCTTAGAAAGTTATCGAAACGTGCGTTGCGATGCACTATGCCCAAGTGAGAGCGAGCGCGCAATGTCATTCTCTGTTTTTCGCACACTTTAATTATTGGACCGAGTGGCTACGCCTCCTGAGATTTTGTGTTTTTATAAAATATTCCTTAACGCAATAGTTTATAGATTAATCTTTGTTGCATGAATGCTAGAGATATTTGTAGGCGTAATTGTGTATTTATTGTTTGTCTATGTGTGAGAGCTACGACCCGGCGACACGCATCCCGACATTAAGACAGTAGAAGGCATTTCTATATTCTTATTATGTATTTAGATTTCTGTGATGCCTTGTGTAGAGGCAAAACACTTGTCGTGACCACACAAGGAATTGTGGTGCTGAGAGTGGTGGTGCTGGAAGTGGTGGTGAAGGGGATAGTGCACGCAACTGAGGGAGGGTGGGAGGTGGGTGCTCTTCAGACCGAGCAGAAAACATCATTGTATTTTATTACGCGGAAATGAGCAAATTAACTTCTATCAACTTTAATATAATCGATTTCCGCAAAGTAACGCGTGATTTTTTTTATTATCGACAAAGTTAAGTATTTGGGCGTAACAATCGACTAAAAACCAACGTGGAACTCTCTACCTTAGCAATGTATGTCACACGGCTAAAATTGGTTTAGGTACCTACGTGCAGTCATATGGTTGGGAGCAACTGGGGCTTACGTCCCAGTATGATCCTATGGCTGTACAGCAGCATAGTGAGGCCGATTATCACCTACGCCTCCATTGTCTGGTGTAATAAAGCCAACCAAAAGACGACTGCGAACAGACTAAATAACTTTCAAAGGTGTGGCCGTGAAAGGAAAAGGGGAGATCTCCCGCCGGGCAAGGTGTTCTACCCGGGGAGCGGCCGACACTCCGTGTGATAGTTCGGAGATGTTCTATATATGCTGTTTCTGATTCGGAATGTTGATATCGTGATTTAGACTTCGGTGTATTTTGATTGTGGCGCGACGACAGCGCCGCCACATCACCCCCTGCTCAGACCGGAGGTCGATAGTGCAGCCTCGTTGCCGACGAATGTGCAAGTGCCAGGAGATTGCCTTGTAGTCTGCAGTGAGTCGAGAAGAAGGCAAGTAATCTGCGAGAGTGCCGTGAAGCAGAGGCGAGCAGTAAGGCTCAGAGCCGTGCCGAACACTGTATAGCGCAGAGAGTAGCTTGAAGGAACAGGAAGCATTATTATTCCAGTGCTGCGATGAACCTTGTGAAGCTAGATGGCTTGCAGGATATGAAGACTGCAGACGACATCTGCTCGGGAGCGAATGGGTGGGGTATGACGATGATGAAGCTTGAAGAAATCCGAAGGTTGTTTGGTTGCGTGTTCAGATCACGTCGGGGTCACCACTGTGGCCGTGAAAGGAAAAGGGGAGATCTCCCGCCGGGCAAGGTGTTCTACCCGGGGAGCGGCCAACACTCCGTGTGATAGTTCGGAGATGTTCTATATATGCTGTTTCTGATTCGGAATGTTGATATCGTGATTTAGACTTCGGTGTATTTCGCTTGTGGCTGCTGCCTGCTTAATGGCAAATGGAGCGATGCGATCATCGCATCTAACGTCCCTCCTAACGTGCGTCTTAAAAGCACATGGCGATCCTGGGACTAAGCAACAGAAGCATGTGCCGGTTTTGTTCATTAACGGAAGCCACACCTCTGCACATTCTGACTGATTGTGGACCACGCATGTACGCAAACGTGACACATCTGGCAAACTATATACTTCGCCCAGAAGTGAAATTGCTCACAGCTAAGCAACTCACATTCATTAAAGACATAAGGCTTAGCAGTGAACCATAGTCACAATTAGCAGTGAACGCAGTGGTATTGGTCATTCTAGACCTGCATAGCTGCTCGCACAAAAAAAGGTATGTAGTCCGAATCAATGAATTTACCAAAGTTGTATTGTTTGAAAATTTTGTCAGAATTTTGAAACAGTATCGAGCCTTTTCATCTGCTCTAATAACAGATAGATCCATTTTTTAAGCCAGCCGATCTCGAAGATATGTAGATATTTGATAAGTCTAATACTATTGTTGTATACTTGGGGAGTGCTTTCAGCCGGGATGAAAGATGTGATTTAGATGTGGATAGGCGTGTCGCTGCCGGAAACAAAGTCAATGGTGCCCTGAATGCATTAATAAAAAAGGCAAGGCGTGGTGAAGAGTGCACGCCTTGCAATACATAACGCAGTGTTGGTACCGACTTTGTTATATGGCAGCGAAACCTGGGTATCCCAGAAGAAGCATAAAAGCAAGTTGAATGCAGTGGAGATGCGATCTCTTCGTAAAATGTGTGGCGTTACCATAGCCGACCGAAAGCAAAACGAAGAGATTCGCAATATGGCAGGATTGAAAGATGACCTTATCACAAAAATTGATAGGGGCGTACTCCAATGGTTTGGGCACGTTGAACGAATGAGTGAAGACCGAATGGTGAAGAAAATATATAGAGCGAAAGTAAATATTAAAAGGTGTCGAGGTAGACCGAGACTAACTTTCGAAGACCATGTGAGCAAATTGCTCGAAGAGGGGAGGGTCAAGAGTACTCGGATACCTAGACGTGCATGTATGAAGAAGTTAATGAACCTGAAAGAAGCGAAAGAGGTATGTAAGGATCGTGACACTTGGCGATCTGTTCTCTCTGGCTACCCCGTTAGGGATTGTGCGTGAAGATAAGTAAGTAACTTACTTACGTAAGTAAGTAATACTATTTAAAATCACGAAAAGGCAACTGTATAGTATGGGAACACCAAGGTTTTGTATTTAAAGGGGCGCCTCTATGAGATCTCGCACCACCTAAACATTTTGCTAGGGCCGCCACTGACTGTCCTTCCGATTGCATGTGGATTCTGTGGCCCATAGAAGACCACATCTATCCTCGATTGAGAATCTAAATGCAAACGCGTTAACACATCTAGAGACTAAGAATGCCTCGTATCCAGCAAAAAGGGTCTTCTGTTCTCTACACTGACCACACGAAACGATATTCCGTGAGAGCGTTGTAGCTCGGTCGAGCCAAACCTAGATATGGCTCTACCACGTGTACTACTAGATGACCACTACACGGTATTAATATATTGTGCACTAAGTTACGCACAATTCTCCGTACCTTCTTCAGTTGAATGTGTGCGGTCGAGACCACTAGTTCTTTGTTTTGTAAACCGCGAACGTTGCTAAGATTAAGAAAACGCTGTCATAATTTATGTGCGCACTTTGTCAACGTGATTTTGAGTTTATTTTAGATATGAATGTAACTATTTTTACCGCCGCCGCCGCACCGCCTGGCTTGGTAAACTATTTATTAATCTGTGGCCTGGCAGGGTTGCCATGTAATGTTGGAAAGTGTTAAATGAGAAGGAGACGTGTTACTCTTGAAATAACATTAACCCTCAATCCACTAGGTGAAATTTGCTAACGTAAACACCTTCTATGAGTCCACTGGACTCACATATTTTCTTAGCGTGGTTTTCTCAAATAAAACACTTTTTTATAATTTCTTTTTTATTATTATTCTTAAATATTAAATAAGGCACTAGAAAAAAGTAACAAAACTGAATAAACTTCTCAAATCCTCTTAAAAATTAAAGAAACTTTGTTCTAACAGTCTCAAAAACAAAGGTATTTTTAGACCTCTACAAAAATAACAAATATCCTTAACAAATATATCTTTTTATCTTTATAAGCCTTTCATAGGTATATATGAATCGCATCAAAAATAATAGAACAAAAATATATGCTTCTATACAAAAATAAAAAACGTGCAATGTGTCTTGCCACCGCTAACAGGCAACGACGGCATACCTTTTTTGAGCAACTCAAACGTACAGGCTTCAGCTTCAGACATTTGGTGCATAAATGTGCAATTTTTGTTCTCTTTTTGTAGTGACATACGTAACAATATTTTCTTTACATCCTGGGTAACTTGTCTTCAGTTTCAGAGTGGCTTGCATCTTCAGGAATGTCTTTTTTCAAGATATATGAAATCGAACTACGAATTTGGTTTGGCAAACGTGTACTGTGCGAACGTGTCATCAAATTACTTTGATTTAGGTTTTCTGCGATGCTTTTGAGAAAATCCAATCTTCTCAGTTTTGGTACATCACTTTGGCTTCCATAGATGACTTGCGCATTGCAACATGCCGTAGCAACAATCCTGAAGAACGCGTCGACCTTTTACTGCAGGAGTACACCGAACATTTTTGGTCAACCATATCAACATCTTTGATTGAATTGTAATACATAATTACTTCAGGTTTTCCAGTATTGCTGTCAATTGTGTGGTCATGGTGCATGGAAGACTATAGCACAACAGCCTTATTTTTTTTGGGACATAGCTTACAAGAGTACACTCTTTGGTAAATTCAAACACAGAAGATTCAACAGACCTGTCTTTGTGCGGGAGAAATTCTTTCGGAATGACTCTTTTGTTTTTTTTTTAGCATACCTACTGTTGTCAAGCATCTTTTCTTCAATTCTTGAAGTAATTCCATTGAGGAATACCAGTTGTCTGTGGTAACATTAATGTTTGTGTTGAAAATAGGTTGACACAAGCGGAGCGTGGCCTGTGTCGGTACCGATTTCTTTTTCTCTTCTTCAGTAAAACCAAATCCATCGGAACCTCTACCGGTGTATAAATAGATGTTGTAAACACTAAAATTTTCAGAATCTACTAAGCACTGCATCTTTAAACCATATTTCCCCGGCTTATAGGGCATGTACATTTTGAATCTTGATCGTCCTCTAAATTCAATGAGCATTTCATAGAATTTAGATTGATCTGTTTTTAGACATAGATGCTCTGAATATTTCACGCTCAGTGCCGTCAGTTGCGAATAATGATAGAACGCTTTCCCTGTTAGATTTCAAAATAGCGGAATAAATAAGCAAAGCCAGAAACCCTTTCAATTCGATAAGGCCAGTCTGTCTAAAGGCAAAATCTTTTGGGTATTTCGTTTGAAATTCCGAAAGTTTTTTATTTGTATGAATCAAAACGATGTTTAGCATTCTTTGATCAAATATTAGCTGGAAAACATCAATTGGAGAAAGAGGTCCTTCAGCTGTAGGCCTTACTCTAGGAATTTGAACCACATTATGTGCTGCAGTACGTACATTTCGGGCTGGAGGTAATCGTGACCACTTGTGCCGATTTTTCCCGTAGTAGTAGTTTTGATTTTGCGCGGGTATCGATTGGTCGTCACCACTCTCGTCAGATAAATTTTCTTGAGCTGGCGAACTAGTGCGCAATCTGCGAGATAGTCCAAACACTCGATGACTCACAATCATCGGTCGCAGGTGCCTCAGGTTGCTTTTCATTACCAGATTCCGAATCAGTGTTGTGTTCACTGTGAATGAACTCACCATCTTCCCAATCCGAGTTGTGTACGTCGTCATCTGTGGGCATCATGACACCGTGTGACTGGCCAGCATCTTCATCGTCAGTCTCTTCATTCATAATTTGTGTGATCCATGATTCCACAACAGAATCCGCCTGGTCTTCATTCATATTTACAACTTTATGTTGTTTTAGATCCATTTTACAAACCTACAATGAAAGAAATTAAAATATATATGTTTTTATATAAATAATACGACAAATAAGCAACGTTTGAGAATCGTAACAATTAAATAAAAATATTAACATAATTCACTAGTATGAGTCCATGGGACTCACTCGACTTGATAACTCACCAACTACGCGTCACAGGTGCACGTCCTCTCGCTACCGCGGTACCGGCGACACTGTAGGAAGGTACTAAAGCGGGGGAGGAAACCAGAGCTCGAGCTAAAATTTATAATGGTTTAAAATTTCGATGTGAGTCCAATGGACTCAGGTAGTGAATTAAGGGTTAATTACACTACACTTAACTCATTCTATCTCTATACTGTCGCGGGGGCTACGCTACAAATTATACGAAAAAACTACGTGACATATTTAGCGTACCAGATATCCGGCCGCCGCTCTTCGAGTTAATACAACAATAGTTTTAAAAAAATAATGTTCATTTTTACATTTACATAATTTATCTTCCATTTAACCGACCGAACGCTCTCAGTGACACATGGCTACTGAACCCGGTGCCATAAGAATGCACACTGCAAGATCATGTGGTAACTAGTCAGTAAGGTGAGACAATACTCGTAAGTACCTTAAGATTTCCATCTGCCGTAAGCCGCAAGCGATTGCAGGATGCGCAGAAGGGCTGCGTCATCGACGAGATGAAGCCTACGCGTCCTACATAACCCTCCACTTGGAATACCTGTGTACATTCGATATACATACTAAATACGAGCCGTGGTAGCTCTGATGGTTAGCACTCGCTGTAAGATACACAGTACGTGAGCAAACCGGGTTCGATCCTCGCCGACACCAAAGAAATTGTCAATTGCAATTTTAAGTGCTGATTTAATACGTGCTCGTCGGTGAAGGAAAACATCGCAAGGAAACGTGCATATCTGAGAAAAAAAATATTTCAAAGACATGTGAAGTTCGCCAACACGCATTGGGGCAGCGCGGCGGTCACTTCCTTGCCCTAAAACCCTATCAGAAATGAGAAGCTTATCAAATAAAATCAAAAACTAATCTAAAGACTAAGCTTATCCTAGTGTTAGTAACATTATTAATTTAATTTATTTTATTTTAATTTAATCTTACGCCTGGCTGAGAGCCGCATGCAGACAAATCTAGTGCCAGCAGTGGAGAATCCCACCTATTGGCCAATGTGCCCAGAATGCTGTTCGAAGTTTCGAGCACACGTCTTAACAGTGAGGCGTTTCTCTTGCGGATGATGGTATAAAAGCAATCAGTTTGTGCCTCGACGAACACATACGATGCTCTGCAAAACGCAGCAACCCAAACAACAACCTAAACTCATTGTTGTATTGAACACCCAGAGAACTGTACGCTCGCTGCGTGTAGCTAACCCATAGACCGCACGTGTAGAACGACTGACAATACGCTTTAAAAAGCGTCAGTTTAACTTGCATACTACAGCGTGCAAATCTACGAGCCAACATTGTACCGTTAGGGGTACAGAATAGGTGGGTTCTTAAAAAACCAAGATTTACGGTATTGTAATTATTTATTTATCTTACTTCCGCACACGTACAAGTAATTCTATTAAGGGGATCACTGGCCTGACGTAGGGGCGAAGTCCAAGCGCTGTTCCCCCAAGGCCGTAGACAGCCAGTTAGCAGAAGGGCCGGTGAAGCCCAAGCCGTTGGTAGGAGGGTAGGCCAACACTCCGTTAGCTCGCGGCTCGGCAGCAGTAGCCCTTAGGTAGCAGGTAGATGCTTAGGTAGCAGGTAGATGCTTAGGTAGCAGGTAGATGCTTAGGTAGCAGGTAGATGCTTAGGGTAGTAGGTAGATGCTTAGGTAGCAGGTAGATGCTTAGGTAGCAGGTAGATGCTTAGGTAGCAGGTAGATGCTTAGGTAGTAGGTAGATGCTTAGGTAGCAGGTAGATGCTTAGGTAGCAGGTAGATGCTTAGGTAGTAGGTAGATGCTTAGGTAGCAGGTAGATGCTTAGGTAGCAGGTAGATGCTTAGGTAGCAGGTAGATGCTTAGGTAGTAGGTAGATGCTTAGGTAGCAGGTAGATGCTTAGGTAGTAGGTAGATGCTTAGGTAGCAGGTAGATGCTTAGGTAGTAGGTAGATGCTTAGGTAGCGGGTAGATGCTTAGGTAGCAGGTAGATGCTTAGGTAGCAGGTAGATGCTTAGGTAGCAGGTAGATGCTTAGGTAGCAGGTAGATGCTTAGGTAGCAGGTAGATGCTTAGGTAGCAGGTAGATGCTTAGGTAGCAGGTAGATGCTTAGGTGAGTAGGTAGATGCTTAGGTAGCAGGTAGATGCTTAGGTAGCAGGTAGATGCTTAGGTAGCAGGTAGATGCTTAGGTAGCAGGTAGATGCTTAGGTAGCAGGTAGATGCTTAGGTAGCAGGTAGATGCTTAGGTAGCAGGTAGATGCTTAGGTAGCAGGTAGATGCTTAGGTAGTAGGTAGATGCTTAGGTAGCAGGTAGATGCTTAGGTAGCAGGTAGATGCTTAGGTAGCAGGTAGATGCTTAGGTAGCAGGTAGATGCTTAGGTAGTAGGTAGATGCTTAGGTAGCAGGTAGATGCTTAGGTAGTAGGTAGATGCTTAGGTAGCAGGTAGATGCTTAGGTAGGAGGTAGATGCTTAGGGTAGCAGGTAGATGCTTAGGTAGTAGGTAGATGCTTAGAGTAGCAGGTAGATGCTTAGGTAGTAGGTAGATGCTTAGGTGCAGGTAGATGCTTAGGGTATAGGTAGATGCTTAGGTAGCAGGTAGATGCTTAGGTAGTAGGTAGATGCTTAGGTAGCAGGTAGATGCTTAGGTAGCGGGTGGATGCTTAGGTAGTAGGTAGATGCTTAGGTAGCAGGTAGATGCTTAGGTAGTGGGTAGATGCTTATGGTGGCAGTAGTGGGTGGCTAGGGGTGGTGCTTGGTGGTTGGTCGGGTGGGATCTTGGTGGCGGGTAGATGCTTAGGTGTGGTGTGCTTGGCAGCGGTGTGCTTAGGTGGAGGTGTGCTTAGGTCAGGTGTGCTAGTGTGGTGTGCTTGGTGCAGGTGATGCTTAGGTGGTGGCTGTGCTTGGTGGCAGGTGATGTGGTGGTGGTGCTTAGGTGGCGGTGGTGGGGTGGTCGGGTGGTGGTGGTGTGTGGGTGCGGTATGCTTAGGTAGTAGGTGTGCTTGTGCGGTGTGCTTAGGTGAGGTGTGCTTAGGTGCAGGTGTGCTTGGTGTAGGTAGATGCTTGGTGCGGGCAGGTCTGGTGGTGGGCTGGTAGGGGCTTAGGTAGTATGGTAGATGCTTAGGTGGCAGGCGGGCTAGGTGTTAGGTTCGGTGCTTGGTGTGGTGATGCTTAGGTGCAGGTAGATGCTTGGTGGCGGGTGGGCTTGGTGGTGGTGTGTAGGTGTAGGTAGATGCTTAGGTAGTAGGTAGATGCTTAGGTAGCAGGTAGATGCTTAGGTGGTAGGAGATGCTTAGGTAGCAGGTAGATGCTTAGGTAGCAGGTAGATGCTTAGGTGCAGGTGTGCTTAGGTAGCAGGTAGATGCTTAGGTAGCAGGTAGATGCGTAGGTGGGTAGTGCTTAGGTAGCAGGTAGATCTTAGGTAGCAGGTAGATGCTTAGGTAGCAGGTGATGCTTAGGTAGTAGGTAGATGCTTAGGTAGCAGGTAGATGCTTAGGTGAGGCGATGCTTGGTAGCGGTAGATGCTTAGGTGGCAGGTAGATGCTTAGGTAGTAGGTAGATGCTTAGGTAGCAGGTAGATGCTTAGGTAGTAGGTAGATGCTTAGGTGGCAGGTAGATGCTTAGGTAGTAGGTAGATGCTTAGGTGTAGGTAGATGCTTAGGTAGCAGGTGGATGCTTAGGTAGTAGGTAGATGCTTAGGTAGCAGGTAGATGCTTAGGTAGTAGGTAGATGCTTAGGTAGCAGGTAGATGCTTGGGTAGGTAGGTAGATGCTTAGGTAGCAGGTAGATGCTTAGGTAGCAGGTAGATGCTTAGGTAGTAGGTAGATGCTTAGGTAGCAGGTAGATGCTTAGGTAGTAGGTAGATGCTTAGGTAGCAGGTAGATGCTTAGGTAGCAGGTAGATGCTTAGGTAGGGTAGGTAGATGCTTAGGTAGCAGGTAGATGCTTAGGTAGTAGGTAGATGCTTAGGTAGCAGGTAGATGCTTAGGTAGTAGGTAGATGCTTAGGTGGTGCAGGTAGATGCTTAGGTAGTAGGTAGATGCTTAGGTAGCAGGTAGATGCTTAGGTAGTAGGTAGATGCTTAGGTAGCAGGTAGATGCTTAGGTAGTAGGTAGATGCTTAGGTAGCAGGTAGATGCTTAGGTAGTAGGTAGATGCTTAGGTAGCAGGTAGATGCTTAGGTAGGGGGGTAGGTAGATGCTTAGGTAGTAGGTAGATGCTTAGGTAGCAGGTAGATGCTTAGGTAGTAGGAGATGCTAGGGTAGTGCTTAGGTAGTAGGTAGATGCTTAGGTAGCAGGTAGATGCTTAGGTAGTAGGTAGATGCTTAGGTAGCAGGTAGATGCTTAGGTAGTAGGTAGATGCTTAGGTAGTAGGTAGATGCTTAGGTAGCAGGTAGATGCTTAGGGGCGTAGATGGTTAGGTAGTAGGTAGATGCTTAGGTAGCAGGTAGATGCTTAGGTAGTAGGTAGATGCTTAGGTAGCAGGTAGATGCTTAGGTAGTAGGTAGAGATGTGTAGGTAGTAGGTAGATGCTTAGGTAGGTAGAGTTGGTGCAGGTAGATGGTCAGGTAGCAGGTAGATGCTTAGGTGGTGAGCTTTAGGTAGAGGTAGATGCTTAGGTAGCAGGTAGATGCTTAGGTAGCAGGTAGATGCTTAGGTAGTCAGGTAGATGCTTAGGTGATGCTTAGGTGTAGGTAGATGCTTAGGTAGCAGGTAGATGCTTAGGTAGTGAGGTAGATGCTTAGGTAGCAGGTAGATGCTTAGGTGCAGGTAGATGCTTAGGTGCGTAGTGTAGGTGCTTAGGTAGTAGGTAGATGCTTAGGTAGCAGGTAGATGCTTAGGTAGCAGGTAGATGCTTAGGTAGTAGGTAGATGCTTAGGTAGTGTAGGTAGATGCTTAGGTGCTTAGGTAGTAGGTAGATGCTTAGGTAGTAGGTAGATGCTTAGGTAGTAGGTAGATGCTTAGGTAGCAGGTAGATGCTTAGGTAGTAGGTAGATGCTTAGGTAGTAGGTAGATGCTTAGGTAGCAGGTAGATGCTTAGGTAGTAGGTAGATGCTTAGGTAGCAGGTAGATGCTTAGGTAGTAGGTAGATGCTTAGGTAGCAGGTAGATGCTTAGGTAGGAGGTAGATGCTTAGGTAGTAGGTAGATGCTTAGGTAGCAGGTAGATGCTTAGGTAGTAGGTAGATGCTTAGGTAGCAGGTAGATGCTTAGGTAGTAGGTAGATGCTTAGGTAGCAGGTAGATGCTTAGGTAGTAGTTAGATGCTTAGGTAGCAGGTAGATGCTTAGGTAGCAGGTAGATGCTTAGGTAGTAGGTAGTGCTGGTAGGTAGGGTAGATGCTTAGGTAGCAGGTAGATGCTTAGGTAGTAGGTAGATGCTTAGGTAGCAGGTAGATGCTTAGGTGTAGGGCTGTAGGTAGGAGATGCTTGGTGGCAGGTGGTAGATGCTTAGGTAGCTAGGTAGATGCTTAGGTAGCAGGTAGAGCTTAGGTAGTGCTTAGGTGGGTGCAGGTAGCAGGTAGAGGTCAGGTGTAGGTAGATGCTTGTAGGTAGTAGGTAGATGCT